AATTAATAGAATTAATGCTTTTTCACTATATAATCAATAGAGCCCCCTCCCCCTTCCTCAAGAACCCCAAAAACTGAGGCCATATATTTAAAAATTTTGGAAGAAGCATCCTTGCCTATCATAATCATGCACTTAGTTTGTTTAAATAATCTCCAATAGCAGAGAAGAAGATTTTCAAAGAATCAATGCATTTTCACTATATAATCAATAGAGCCCCGCCCTAACACCAGAACCCCTGACCCTGGGGCCATGAAATTCACAATTTTTGAAAAGGCATCCTTATGCATCATAACCATGTACTTTGTTTGTTTAAATAATACCCAGGAGCAGAGAAGAAGATGTTCAAAGAATTAATGCATTTTCACTATATAATCAATAGAGCCCCGTCCTAACATCAGAACCCCTGACCCAGGGGCGATGGCTTTCACAGTTCTGGAAGAGGCACTCTTGCTCTTCATAACTATGTACTAAGTTACTTTATTTAATACCCAGGAGCAGAGAAGAAGATTTTCAAAGAAATAATGCACTTTCACTATATGATCTATATAGCCCCACCCTGGGGCCAGAACCCCTGACCCTGGGGCCATGAATTTCACAATTTTGGTAGAGGGCTCAATGTTTGTTACAATGATGCAAACAGTTTGACTGCTTGATGTCCTGGAGTAAAGAAGAAGATTTTTAAAGATTGCATTATTTTTGGTGGTTTTAGCCCCACCCCTTAGGCCCCCGGGGGGGGGGGGCGGGGCAGGGACCATGAAATTCACAATTTTTGTTCCCCTTCACCCATAGATGCTATATGCCAAATTTGGTTGAAATTGGTTAAGCGGTTTCAGAGAAGAAGCTAAAAATGTTCAAATGTTAACACACGACGCACGACGACGGACGAGAACGGATAGCAATAGGTCACCTGAGTGACTCAGGTGACCTAAAAAGTTAACCACATCAGCTGCATGTTTTTATCGTTTTCAGACTGGAATTTCAGAAAAGAAAAGGACGCTATCGGACGCTGTGAAAATGGGATCAGAACTTGATAACCAGACATATAAATACCAAAAAGAAAAATACTAAGAGAGGACGAGTTTACAAAGACATTACATATGAATTTAATGAAAGCTTTGATGATAATGACTCTGTCCACCCACGAACAGTCCAAAGATTTTAATGTAATCACGTTTTAAAGGGACAAGTTTTAGGAAAAGCTGGTCATTTCGGAGATTAACAGGAAAAGGCATGTTGCCTTGTGTTGAGAGAAAAGAAAACTAACAGTGAATAATTATTGGAACTCTGTTATATTTTCTGATAAAAGTGAGATAGTTGGGGGTTAAAATCATATAGTGTATGTAAAAGAGTCCCACTTGCCACAGTGTATATCCCCCCTCGGCAGTAAAGACTTTCGGATATGGTGTGAAGATGCATCACCTGCCACGGAGAAGGTGCTCTATCATCTAGAGGGGAGTTACGGGGTTGCAACCCCCTTTGGATTCGCAAAAAAAAAAAACGAGAGGAGAGAGAGAGAATTCCCGAATATTTGTTGAGTTTTATTTTTTTCTGGAAATGGCTTTGCTTTCATCTAGTTTAACCACATACTTTTTCGAGAAGCATGTGTTGAATGATCATGGGTAATTTAAAGTAATATGAGCTGCAACTTTGATGTCGGAAATTTTTGTGGCAAAATTTTAATTAACAAATTCAATGAAAGAAAAAAGAACATTTATACATTTCTGTTGTTCATATTTGCGATGGAAGAACTATTTAGAAGCTTTGATTGAAGCAATATTACATTATTGCATTATTGTCGTCCTGTTCAAAATTGATTTCTTATATAATACTATACATTCCATAGTACAGAAACCTTTCTTTTGCAAAAATTTAAAACTTTATTTTAGTCTAATTGATCATAAAGGTTTAAAATACATACATATTTATCATAACAGCACATTTTAACAGCAAAATAGAATATAAAGTAAATATACATCATTTTCAATTTTAACCAAAATTTTATTTAAATGCATTCTGATGAAGTGCAGTCACACCGAAATAAAATTATTTTAAAGATGTTTTTTTTTCTGGTTAAGGGTAGTCTGTCAACAGTTTGTAATCTTTAACTAGGTAGATATCTCAATATTTATTATATGCTCAGTATATACAAGCGCAAAGACTTCAAATTTATCATATAAGCAAAATTATTAACATTTACATATTATTGTGTAATTTGAGTTTACACACGTATAAACTTAGATTATTTGACAATTTTTTGATTTAAATTTGTGCAAGTAATTACTACTAGAGTAGGCGAAAATGTTTATCAAATGCGCTTTTTGATAAATATATAATAAATATAATAAATTAAATTAAGAGAACAAGAGGTCCATGGGCCTTAACGGTCAACTGAACAGAACACTGAAAAGATCCGTAGAAGTAAAAAATTAGAGTAAACTGAGAGATGAAGCTATATTGCCCAAAAGCAAGAATTAAAAATGAGATGATCAGGGACCAACAA